GTATGTATGTGTGTATGTATGTTATATATATATATGTGTGTGTGTGTATATATGTATATATATATATATGTGTGTGTGTGTGTGTGTGTGTGTGTGTCTATGTGTGGTGTGTGTGTGTGCGTGTCTATGTGTGGTGTGTGTGTGTGCGTGTGTATGGATGTTTATGTCACAACAGCTATGCTCCCGTACATGTAAGCTGGTACCTTGGCGTATATTCATATGAGTGTATGTTGTGTGCCTGTGTGCATGCATCCATATGTTCCATATACATATGTGCGTCCAGTGCTTGTGTGTTATGTGTATGGCGTGCTTAGGCGTGTGTTCGTGTACAGCTTGTGGCTCTCCCGTTGGTATCGCCTACTGCACGTCCGTATGCACCGTGTATCCCTTACACAGCCCCTTTCTAAACTACGGACTTGGAACTCTGAGATGCGTGCGTATACGTGTTGTGCAAATGTATTGTGGTCTGTGTGCGATGCACACTTGGCGTGTGTGTTGTCATTTCTGTTTCAGCTGCACCTTGTGTGTGTGTGGTGTACTCGCACAGTACTCGCATAAGTCTGCGTGATCCTGTGCCTGGCCCTACCATCAACACCGCATAGATAGCAGCTAACCTCTAAACCGAAATAGGCTTTACGTAAAAGCTAACCCCAACACCGCTGTCACGCGCAGGCCAAAGTCATGAACAACACTCTGATGCATCTGCGCAAGCTGTGCAACCATCCGTATCTGTTCCCTGAGGTCGAGAGCATGGTCCATCGCGGTGAGAGGGGCGGAGGCTCCGATCTCATCAGGTGAAAAAAGTGTCGAATATGTGTATATGGCAAGAGTGGACGTAACGTTTAGGGAGGTGGTGATGGTGTCACAACAGGGCTGTGTGTGCTTGTTTGCGTATGTTGTTTCCAGATGGCCTGCATTCCTCATCAGGGAGTGCTTCATGTGTGAAGTTGGCTTGCAAGATATGAGTGTGTTTTGGTCATGCATGTCATGTACTTTCACAACTGCCTGTGTTTGTGTGTTTTGGTTATGCATGTGCAATTACAGCTGTCTCCATTTATCCGTTGTGTGTAGTTTCCTGTGTATGCACATTCGACTTGGATTGGCATTGAACCTTACAAATGTCCAACTGAGTTGCTGTGTGGAGTGTTTATCCAATCACAACTGCGCTGTCTCGTGTGAGCTCGGCTCCGTCCCACTTTTCGTAACTGTGTCATACTCCACTTCTCTCTGACACGAGTTATCTGAACACATTTGCGCGTCTGTACCATTGTCCTCGTTATTTGCGTTTCCAGTATTCCCCGGTGCAGGATCTTACCTCAAGTTTTACGTTAACCTTATTGACATTGGTGAGACCAGTTGAATTCGTGGCTGATGTCATTTACCCCACATGGAATGAGTGGTAAAACCGAAACTCCACATTGAATCGTCCTTTTTTCCTATTGCCAATACCATCCACACATCTCCCATCACCATCCACACATCTCCCATCCACCCTCCTCCCATTCACACTCCTACCCTTTATACTCATCTTCTTTGCTTGCTCATAGAGTGAGTGGTAAGGTTGAGGTGCTGGATCGTGTGCTACGGAAGTTGATTGCGTCGGGGCATCGTGCGTTGCTGTTCACCACCATGACTCAGCTGATTACCATTCTCGAGGACTATCTCGTATGGGCCGGTATCAAATACCTCCGACTGGACGGGTCTGTCAAGGCAGACGACAGAGGGGAAATGATCCGCATCTTCAATGCTCCGGTATGGAGTAAAATCTAAATGTATATCTGTACATAAGTATGTATCTATGTATCTATGTATTTATGTATATATATAAATTTATATATTTATATATATGTATATGTATATATATTTACTATATTTAATATATACTATATATATATATATATATATGTATATATATATATATATATATTGTGTGTGTGTGTGTATTCATATACGTGCACGTATATACTTGTCCCATGTTATATATATATATGGTTATATATGTCTACAGATATTTGTATACATATGTACATGTATATTTATATGTACATGTATTTGTTTGTATTTGTATTTATATATATATATACATATCTATATCTATATATGTATATGTATGTATATGTATGTATGTATATATATATGTGTGTGTGTGTGTGTGTGTTTATAAATATATATGTAGATATATATATCTATATCTATATCTATATCTATACATAAACATATACATATATATATATATATATATATATATATATGTGTGTGTGTGTGTGTATATATATACATATATATATATTCAATTTATATACGTGTACGTATGTGTGTTTGTATTTGTATTTATATATATGTGTGTGTGTGTGTGTGTGTGTTTGTTTGTATGTGTGTGCATTTCGTATGTATGTGAGCCCTATTTGTATTTGTGACTACATTGTTTGATCCGTCATCAAGCATCCCAGGTTGGATGGTTCATTCGAGCAGCTGAGAAAAGTAAGATGATTCGAGTGTTCAATGCTCAAATTACATCTGTAGTGCATGCATGTGAGCGCGTGCAGTTGAAGTTTGCACACACATGTATATCGATTTTTATGCGTGTTTGACGTGTGAATGCATTGTGGGCGTATGGGTATTGTTAGTGGGTTATATACTTTAGGTGGTTTCCAGATAGTTCAGTCTGATTTGTTAGTTATGGCAGTAGATTAAATTAGTAGATAGGGGGATGATGCTCCCGAGAGGTACAATGCTCACATATAACGTGGTGACTGACTGTACCTGGGTATGTTCTGTCTGTCTGCATATACATCTATATCTACACCGAGATCATCTAGCCTATATCTGGTTTCATTTGTAAACGTACATAAACGTAGATGCTATGCACGCAACAAGCCAGTGTGTGCCTAGTGTGCATTCATAACCGAGTGATAATCTCTATGTTTTGTGTGTAAAGACACACAAGCTTAGCTCAAGGCAACACATGCGGATGTGCACATCACTCAATTCTTCAGCCTCGGCGCATTTCTCAATAAAATGTTTGCACTTGGGTGGTTGTATCCGGATATATATATATTTATATATATATATATATTTATATTTATATAACTATACATCACTCATGCAAAAACATAACAAAATGAATTGTACATACACATGCAAGACTCGGAGTATATCGTATGAATTTGTACATACACATGCAAGACTCGGAGTATAACGTATGAGTTTGTACATTAGACGCAGAACTTAGAGATTATCATCTTCAACATTAATATGAGAATGGACACAGTGCTCAGGATGTAGCATCGTCAACCTCAATATGGGAACTGTCAGTACAGCTACACACATGGGCCTCAGCTCATAACAAAAACATCAACATGTGGGTGAATCTGTACAGACCCACGCATGGATTGGGAAACATCATTGTCACAATTATGCGAATGAAATTGTGCATACACATAGGGCTTGAAGTACTACACCTTTGACACAAATATGTGAATGCATTTGTATTTGTATATACTCAGGACTCAGAGTACAACATCTTCCTACTGAGTACGCGCGCGGGTGGATTGGGTCTGAATCTGCAGACCGCCGACACAGTCATCATCTACGACAGCGACTGGAATCCCTTCCAGGATCTGCAAGCACAGGTAATCAACCTATCTCTGTGAATCATTCTCATACACCTAGTACGTGGGGAATAGCCTGTGATTGGAACCAAGTGGGTTCATTCTAGAGGTGTTGGTCTGCGTGTCTGTTTCACGGAGTGTGTATACGCTTACTGTATACACCACCCTCAGCATCACGGGACATAGTGCCGATGAGTGCGTACACGGTGCAAGTGGGGTAATTCTACCGTTGCACCTTGCTTTGGTTCCAACGCCTGTATTAGTTATGTTAAACAGGCATCGAGGCGACGGAATTCACCACTCGAACGGGAGTTCTTTGTTGGAATCGCGCTGAGCATTTAAATTGCAGATTGGGTTGTTCACAGTTAGGCAGCTCACACCCATCTAAGCAGTGCATTGCGACTGGGCACACAATGTTTGTCTGTGCCTGCTGCGTCTGCCGTCGCCTACATCCTGCGACTTCAATGTAAGATTATGTATGTGGGCTTTCACTTAGATGCTTTCATACTTGTCTCGGCCTGTGGAGCACATATATACACTCGTATTCTATAAACAGAAGCATCCTGATTGGCTCATGGCGTCGGATCTATCGCGTATTCTATTTTTAAACACTTTCCAATTGGCCCACAACGCAGGATCGAGCGCATCGGATTGGACAAAAGAACGAGGTGCGCGTGCTGCGCTTCCTAACAGTCAATAGTATCGAAGAGTATGTCCTGGAATCCGCCGAGAGGAAGCGGAACATGGATGCCAAGGTGTGACACCGGGGTAGATGTGCCTGTATAAGAGAGTGTACGCATTTGATTGCTAGATACTTGCTTGTAATATGGTGTATGTAGCGTATTGTGTGTACGACGTTTTTGAAGCTGCAGTAGGTCGATGTGTCTGTGCGTGTAAGGGGATAAAATATGATTGCTGGATACTTACTTTGATATCGAGTGTGTATCGTAATATGTATAATTTTGTGTCGTGCACACGAGTTCGTGTGGGGTGTACTCGTGAGTGGAGTTGGTGGTGCTTCTCCGATCGTATCATACGCGCGTTTGTGAATGTACACATGTTAATTTGCTTAGACCTGTACCTAGATGTTCACGGTGATATCCACATACACAACTGTACAAGGCCACAGACACGCCACTGACCAGCAAGACAATACACTGTACCGACCCCAAACACCCCGCATTGAATATATTTCTAGATCATCCAAGCCGGTCGATTCGATAACAAGAGTACGTCCGAAGAGAGGAGGCGCATTTTAGAAGATCTGCTGCAGAAGGATGAGGAAGACACAAACGACCTCGTCGAGCCAAGCAGCATGGAAGAGGTGAGTCACAGTACCCAATTTTTGTTTGCCCTCGGGTTCTTACTCTGCTTTGATATATATGTTTATGTATATGTATATGTATATATGTATATATATATATATATATATATATATATATATATATATATATATATATATATATATATATATATATATTATTATATATTAGTTAGTTAGTTAGTTAGTTAGTTAGTTATTAAGTTAGTTAGGTAGGTTAGGGTTACGGTCGTAACGTAGTATACGTTACGTACCGGACCGAACCGAACTACCGAACTAACCGTA